TGAATTAAGGGAGTTCAAGTACTTAGGTGCTTTGCCACGGATGGGGAAATTTTCTCTCATAGATGCTAATTTAACTAACATTTACCGATCAAAAAAGAAAAAAAGAACACCAAGCTTCCAACTAATTTTGTACTGAGACATACATGGACAAGGCCAAGCCACTATGAAGAAATAAAATGCCAGATAGAAAGAACGAGAGCACTTCCATGAAAATGAATCACAACCAATTGGCAACTCAAAATCCCTGAACAACTCAAATTCAATATGTTGGAAGATAACATCCTCACTTGATATGTTGCAAAAAAAAAACAAATAGAGATAGAATAAATAACAAATAGCAAAATCCATAACATCACACCAAACTGTTAAAATCCACAGCGCAATAGCAAAATCCAGACTGTGTTCAGCCTTGCAAGGGGCAAAATCACAAGGCTCTAAAAAAAGAAGACTAAAGAATAAAGAAGACAAGCTTCCACAGCCCACAAAGCAATGATATACTAGCTTCAAATGATATGCAAGCAAAAAAAAAAGAGAGATAGAGAGAGAAGAAACTGATAGAGAGATTAGAACTTGTATACAAAAAATTAAACAAAAAAGAGATTAGAACATGACATTGATGAATGAAATTTGAACTTTTTATTGAGATTGAGAAAGAGAGATTAGAACTTGTATACAAAGAACTCAACAAATACATTCGCTAGAGATTTGATTTTTTTAAGAAAAATAAAACCCACTCCGGCGACCCTCACAGCCGCAAGCCTCACAAAGGATGGTGGTCTGAGAGAGAAGACCACCCATTGAAAAACGAAAAGAGAAGACCACATCCACCGGCTGACGACCTCTTCTCCTATCTTCTTCTTCTACCCCTTCTCCTTTTCCGATGTGGCCAGAACATGATTTCCCATTCGACTGACGAAGCCATCTTCAGCGTCCTCTCATCCTTCTCCTCATTCCCCTATGTTTCTCCTTCTCCTCTCTTTCTCTCACCATCCCCTCGCCTCTCTATTTGTTAGTGTTTGCTTCTCAAACGTTTGAGAGAGAAAAGAGAAGATGAAGGAAAGAGGGAGGGAAAAAAAATGTGCCAAAATGACATCATTTTGGCACCATTGCTGGAACCATTACAGGGAATCACGACAGAGGACCAGACTCTTCCACCTGGTGGGATTAATTAAGGACCCACACACCAAAGCAACCACTATATAGTTTTGCCAATCAACACTCCTCTCCAATAAACTCTGATCCACGAAAATTTAGTGCATAGGTCTTCTCCATATCCTACATGGTATGCCTTTACAATTTTATTAGTTCACATATCTATTCTTTCTTATTTTTTTCTCCTATGTATTACATAAAGCAACCAATAAAATTAGAATAGTACACAGTCTAAGTAGAATTCTTGGAAGACATAAGATAGTACACCCAGCCGTCTTCCTTCGAACCTATGGAATACTGATGGAAGATTTCAGCTAGACCGAGGTTGATGCCTGCCTGGCGGTTTAGTTCGGCTATACCCATTATTATACGGTAGGAGTTGGTGGAAAGCTGGGTTGGGCATAGTCTGGTTTGCCTAAGGAACTCACAAATTAAGGGTTGGACTAGAAATCATAGTCCGGTTTCTATTATGGACAAGAGGGTGAAGGCGACAAAGCCTTCATTGCCCTAAGGTATGACATCTTTTTCGGCTAAGATCAAGTGGACGTCATCGGGTATATTATAATCTTTTCGGAATTCGGCTAGACCGCCCGGAGCATTTACTAAAAATCTATACTTTCCCATTTATTGTATAATTTATGAATAAATTAGTTCGGTCCAAAAATTGTGCTCAGTAGTTCGGTTGAGCGCGCAGAGGAGTGCCTGGGCAACCTAAGTCTGCAAAGTGAAGAACAAAGGTGTTAAGCACAGATCATTGGGCTGTGCTACAAATTAAAAGCAAGATAAAAAGAAGTCCTACTTCGACTGTGTGGAATGCTACAGGTTCTATCTTGGTTTCTGCAAAGGTGATTGGTAGCTCGGTTTGAGCAAGGCTTTTATTAGCACGGCCTTGGCAAGCGTCTCAATATCTCGGTTGTGGAAACGGTTCTGTTTGACCGGTTGATCGTCTAGGGGCAGCTTTCTGAGTTCCGTCTAAAAAACTAAGAAAGCTGGTTTAGCCCCGAAGGCCTAGATCGGTTGGAGTTCAGGTATCTCAGTATGCTAAGTGCAAGTTTAGTTTGGTTGGTTACCTCGGCTGAGGTAACGCAAGAGGTAGTTTGACTTATTAAAACTACTGGTGTAAACACGAAGTGTTAGTCCGGTTGCAAGCTGACTAGACTTTTACCTAGCTTAAACAGTGTCCTAGTTCGGTTGCATCATGATTTTGGATCGAAAACCAGTCTTCTACAGGATATTACATGTACTCGTGTTCTATTATTAAGTTTTTTCCAGAAAAGTACAGAGCAAAGCAATATGGAAAAATATGTTTTACAAAAACACAGAAAACAAAATACGAAAACAAAGTAGATGTACAGTGCTTACCCGATGAAGAGGCAAGAGCTGGAGAGAGAATAACAGCTATGGAGAACACGAGCTTAGAAAGTTAAAGAAGCAATGGAGGCTCAGAGAAGGAAAAGTTGCAAAGTGTGTCAAAATGAAGAGGCTCGTTTTAGGTAAAAGGAAAAAGGCGGGACTGTTCAAATTTCACGAAGTACGAAGACGGCGTGACAGCCGTCCTCAGTCAATCAGAGCATGCCACGTGCCATTAGAATGGGAAACGTTTCAGTCTCTGTGATTGAAGAGACGTTACTACCGGACAGCCAGAGCTCGGTGTGAAAGTAGCTCGGTTGGATAGGCTAAAAATCTATAGCTCGGCTGGTTGACAGATAATCCCAATCATGCTAGGCAGATGGAATTAAAGGGCAATTGAGAGGGTAATTTATGTGAAAATTGGGCCGAGCTGGGTAATAGGCCGTTATGAGCCGCAGTACAAAGGGCCGAGTAAAATGGCCATGTAAGTTACTCCGGTCGTGTGGATATTTTGAAGTTAGTCCGGTCCTAAGGCCGTGAAGCTAGTCCGGTCCGACAGAAGATCGAAGTTAGATCAGTCTAATAGGTGCTTTGGAGTTAGACCGGTCTTGGAGTTACACCGGTCATGACATGTTAGTTTGGTCTAACCATGCCATGGGTTGTGCAAGAGAAGCCGATGTAAGAGCAGTAAAAGGAAGAGCTAGTTCGGTTTATTCTGCGGCTATGCATAGTCATGTTTACTTCGGTCATATTGGAGTTCGGCCATGATAAAACCATCTCACTTGGTTTAAGCGGTGAGGGGGTGTTGAAGGATAAGCATTAGCTTTCAAGAGTATGAATCCTAGGAGGACTCTGCATGGAAAAGTAAAAGTCCTACTAGGATTGTGCCACACGAAATCTATAAAGCTCACAAACATCACCTTTGGAGAGGTAACACACAACTTTGCTTTCTGAATACACAGAGCTTTTGTCTATTTGTCAAGCTTACTAACTTAGACATCGGAGAGGTTTCCGGCACACACCCGCCGGCTAGCTCACGTTTGTGTTTTCAGGTGATAAAGCGACGACGTACAGAGGAGTGCAGACTTGATCAACAGGATTATACGAGAAGGTTTATATCTTTCCCGTGCAAATAGTACACAGTCTAAGTAGAATTCTTGGAAGACATAATAATTTTTCCCGATCCATGCTATTGATGAGTTTGCTTCAACTTCCAAAATAGAATTTTCCGCAATTATTTTTTTAATCATTTTTTTAATATAATTTTTTAAGAATAAAGTTTTCGCCATAAAAGAAACTTATGTATTTGATAAGTATTAACAAAATTATTTTTTATTGTTGGAAAAATCCAATTACTGTTTGGAATTTTTTATCTTTAGTTCAAAAAAATTTTAAAAAGTTTTATTGTTGGAAAAATCCAATTACTGTTTGGAATTTTTTATCTTTAGTTGAAAAAATTAAAAAAAATATATCTTCAAAAAAATTTACTTTCTAAATGAAATAAATAAATAAATAAATAAATAAATAAAAATCCCTAATAAAAAGTGTTTGGACGGGCATTGGTACATAAGCTCCTCAAAAGACCTATGATCAAATAGGAAATGGCTCAACCAGCAAAACACGTGGCTATGACGTGATATAAGGTATTTTTCAAGAAGATTTCACGTTGAAGCTCACAATTTTGTGATTTTGCTGTTTCAAGATATTTTTTGGCGCAATTACTTTGTTTATAAATTGGGTAAATTACACTTACACCTCTAAGATTTAGATTTAATACATATCATTTTCTGACATTTGAAAAATTACACTAAACCACCTTGTCATTATAATTATTTAGACAGAATGAAAATATTAAACTCATACACTTTCTCTTTTTTTGCTTTGTTTTACTTTCTCTCTTTTTTTTTTCCTTTTCTTTACTTTTTTTTAAAATGTAATTTCTTCTGTTTTTCTACTAGAAGTTGTTACCTTTTATATAAGTAAGGGTTTGTGAAATAAGACTATTAATCACAATGGTGGAAATGTAATTTTCAAAATATCAGGTGGTGGGTAATAATTAAACTAAATCTCGAGTGGTGTTAATGTAATTTACCCTTATAAATTCTAGTTTTAGTTGTTTGTTTTACCATGTTTCTTTAATTATTTACTATTCAAATTTAAGTTTAACTCAATTTTTTCATTTTTATAAAAAAAGTTAATTTTGAACTTGATTGGCAATGAATTGTGTTCGGGGTTTGTTTTGTAGTTCTGATTGGATTATTACTATTGTAAGCCTTTTGGACTATTCGGTGTTTTGATGATTAATAAATCACTATTTGTTAGTAATTTTTGTGATTCATTAATTGTTTCTAGTTGATCTACTTATTAAATGAACTAGATTATCAAAATGGCCCTATGGCCTGGATTAGATCATCAGACTCTCAGCAACTTGAACTACACGGTGCAATTCATATAGAAGTGGGATTATCTGCAATCCAAAATAATAGACAGAAGACAAGTTAAACTAGTAGGTACACAAATCTCAATCATACATTTGTATTCATACAAGCATTAAATAATGACCAGCTTTAGATATAGGATACAATTATCAATACAATACAGACCATTCCTTATATGGAGCATTGAAGTCAATGCATGCATAACACACATAACCAGTATATTAACAACACAGACACAGACACACACACACACACACACACACTCATGCCAAGAACTTATGAAATAGGGTTTTGAAATTCTCCATCTCCTTGGCAGGTAGAGCAACCAAAACATTGACTCCATCATTATTAATCCCATCATGAATGCCAGGGAAGAGCAAAATAATGTCCTTCCTATGGTACACCACAGGGCAGCTATACCTTGGCTTACCCCATGGATACTCCACTTGAGCAAACCCTAATCTCCACCATGAAGACACCAAGAACTCCCCATGTGGAAACCCTTTGTACAGCTCTCCCCAGTCTATTGCAGACCTTGCATACTCATCTGTTATCCTTGCTGCCCCTTCCGACACCATTTCCACCAACCTTGAGAATGGTCCTTCTTCTAGCTCTCTGCACTGCGCAGTCGCATAGGCCGTCAGCACTGCATTTCCTGCGAATGACTGCGGTAGTGGCGGAGACAATCTTGACCGTATATCTACAGCATACAAGACAGTTGACAGCCTATCAAGATCATTTGTGTCACATGACAAGGCCTTGCATCGCCATATGTGCGCTGTCACTACATTAAAGCTGGTAATTTTGGCTTTGCTATGATGACCACGATCACTTGCACTGTTGTCTTTCCTCGCCTTTTCCTTTAGGGAAGCGACATCCCCGGAGCTCAGCCAGAAAATTTCAAAGTCAAGATCCTCCTGTGAACAAACAAAGACTGGTGGGCTTTGGTGGTCCTCCTTCTCCTGACCTATTGGGATTTTGACTTTCACTAGCTCCGGATGGGGGAACGTGACACGTGGCGGAGATCTAGCGGCTAGGAGATGACGATCATGGCATGGGGGTATTGCTAGGGGTTTGTCAGCAGCTTGGGAAGCTAGGTTTTCTAAAAAGATTTTGAAGCTTATTCCGTCAAATGTAGAATGATTGGTTGATGTTCCCATTGAAAAGCCACCACACTTGAATGTTGTCACCTGTCAAAGGGCAAGAAATTAGCCAACACTGCAGAGGTGTCATCTTCTTCAATATTTGTAGGTTCCATTGGCCTTGTTTCCCAATTATAATGTTAGAATAGCTCCTCCACTCACACATCTAAACACTTGCATTAAATTATAGTTGGAATGGAATGAACAGAATAAATGCATGCAAGGACTATATTTACACTCGGTGAAAAACTTTGTTATTTTGCAAACTTCTTCATTACTTTATATTTCACAAAACTTAATATTGGAATAAGGGTTGTGTTTGGAAAGGAAAGGATACCTTTTAGTTAAAACATCAAAAAAAATCATTACAAAAAAGCTTATTATTTTTTTACGTATCTTTTTATAGGAAGTTTAAAAAATTACTTAAAAAATCAATTTTTAAAACAACCCTAACTGGTTAGAATCGTGACATGGGAGAATTTTGCAAAAATAGTTTAATGATAATGAGTAGAAGGAAGGAAGAGCTTCTGAATCATGATACATAAAAGATGTTTAAAATAAATATATATTTCATATTTTTCAAAAAAAATGATATTTAAAGTTTATTTTTCAGACTCACATTTTAAATTTAGTTATGTATAAAACAAATGATTAATTGATAATTAAACTATATATATATATATATAAATTAATTTAAATATTTTAATAAACTATCCCATCATTAACTAACCATACTTTTTTGGGTGAATATGACTAACCATACTAACAAAGCAGTAGCAGACGGACAAAAGACCTGAAACCAAATAATCAAAACAAAAATGTTTTGTGACTACAAATTTTGTAGTTTAAATGATTCAAAAATGACAAAATAATATTATTTTGGCATTTTCAGAGTTATTCTGTATCTAAAATAACGTCGTTTTGATATTTTTAGACCATTTAAATTACAAAATTTATGACCACCAATCATTACCGTAATCAAAATCAGACTCACATTTTAAATTTAGTTATGTATAAAACAAATGATTAATTGATAATTAAACTATATATATATATATATATAAATTAATTTAAATATTTTAATAAACTATCCCATCATTGACTAACCATACTTTTTTGGGTGAATATGACTAACCATACTAACAAAGCAGTAGCAGACGGACAAAAGACCTGAAACCAAATAATCAAAACAAAAATGTTTTGTGACCACAAATTTTGTAGTTTAAATGATTTGAAAATGACAAAATAATATTATTTTGGCATTTTCAGAGTTATTCTGTATCTAAAATAACGTCGTTTTGATATTTTTAGACCATTTAAGCCACAAAATTTATGACCACCAATTATTACCGTAATCAAAATCAGGCTTGCAGATGACCACGGGTGTGATAAGGGTGGGCCTACTTGCTGAACAAAATTTGTTACATTTTACAAACTAAATACTAGCTGGATATTGGAGAAGGAAACAAAAGTGTAGCTAGATATTTGAGAAGAAACAAAAAGATTTAGGATATCCTTTCTCTAAGTTTCGGATTTAATATTCACAAATAGTCATAAATTTCTTGGGACTATATATTTATATATATATATATATACAGGACATATTCATCCCACTAAAAATATCACCACTAATAGCACTAATGCATTAAAAAAGTAAAAAAAAAAAAAAAATACAATTCCAAGACCAAAACATCACATCATTAATGACGAGACCCATTGCCACATAATTAGTGGGAGCACTAATTAGTACTCCCAAACATTTTTCTTTCAAAAAAATGATTTGATGAGCAACACGTGAAGTGTAACACGTATACATATCATCCATCTACTAAGGCGGTTAATAGCTACACATGGATAGAGAGTCATATGGTCATGGGCATTTAATCGCGACATTAATTGCAACAGCTAGCTACCACTTTAACCACTCATGCACCAACAACTATTTTGTTCTACGTTATCAGATCAGATCAGATCAGGGCAAACACTCTCAACCAATGCCCTAATATAGCCGAATTAATCTGATTTACATTTTTATTATGTTTACTTTAATCTTTAATATTTAAATTTGAATTTAATTATAGGAAGAAAAAAATTGAGATCTACAATTTTATTAGAAATAACGTGATATATTTATGTATCAATTTTTAATCTGTTGTATGAATAAATTGTAGGACTTAAGTTGTAAATTTCTACTATTTTTGTAACTATAATTTATTATTCTTGATTTTTTTTTCCTTATTATTATTTATTTTTGGAGCAAAAAGAAAAAAACTTCATATATGAAGGAGGAAAATAATGTGGAGTATCAAGATATACCAATAAAACTAACCACAACCGTGACAACTTAACATGATTTGTAAGGAATTGTCTTATAGGGGTTGTTTCCTAGTAAAATTCAGAATTATTAGCATTGCTTATGGTTGTTTCCATGTACATATATGCAAACCAAGTGGATAATCTTTTATCGATGGAAAAAATGTACATGAGAAGAAGAAAAAAAAAATGAAGAAAGAGTCTCTATATTTTGTGCTTATAATTCTAATTCTAATTGTCAATGAATTTAATACAATTAAGAAAGAATTGTCCTAATCAATTGATGGGCCTTAGGCCATGTTTGTTATCCCCCCCATGCGTAGTAGGATTGGAGTGATAGTGAAGTTAGACTTGTAAAAGTATGTTTGGTTGGGGAAATTTATGAGTAGATTATTAGTTCAGTTGGATTGACAATCCCCCTATATAACCGGATTAACAAAGCTAGAGAAAGTATGAGATTGAAAAAATAGTTAGGGGATTAAGTGCCATTTTATTTTTATTTTTTTTTAATTTTTTTTTTTTTACCCAAGTAAAAAAAATTTATATTTGTTTTAGGATTTTTTATAATATAGAAATATTTTTTTTAAAATTTATATAAAAATAATTTAATAATTCCATCACTAATCAATACTCCAACTATCATTAAAATAAACACACTTTTACTTAATCTCTTCACTAACAATCTCCACATTAACAGTCTCTTCACTAACTATCTTCTCACTGACAATCTCATTCAGTCTAATCCACCAAACAAACATGGCCTCAATTCAAAAAAAAAAAATTTACTGGACCTACCTTGAATTTACTAGACTTGATTTGGAATAACTCCTCTCCACCCAGGTGATTATTGGATAGTCCTGAAATACGGTCACGTGATACTCTATGGTATAGTGATTGACGGAGAGGTATTATGATTTTATGCTAGATGATTGAAAAATATGAAGATGTATGGTGAATAATAATTAGTGAAAAAGTATAAACACGTGATACTCCGGAGGAGTACCTAATAATTTTCCTCTCCACCCAAGGCTCAATTTTTTTTCGTGACTTGCATGGAAAGATAGACTTATGACCTCTAATTATCTGCATAGAATTGGTATCCGTGGTACTAAAGTGGGTTGACTTTTTGACTTTTTTGACTATTTTAGCTTGGGGTTAAAAAACCTCGTTTGGGAAAGATTTTTAACTTTTTTAACTTTTTTGTGAGAGAAAGAATATAATGATTATAGGTTGGATGTAATATTTTGTTTAATGTAACTAAAAAAACCTATTTTGTTTTTATAGCTATTTTAGCCAAAAAAAACCCAACCTTTGGCTTCCCATCTTCCCAAACGAAGCCATTATGTCGTTATTTAGCGAGTGAGTTGGGTTTAGGTTGTCATTAAAAAAGCACAAAAAGATAAAATAAATTAATAAATAAGTCAATAAAATAAAATATCACATTCAAATTATAATTATTTTACTTTTTTTCTAAAAAATCAAAAAAATCAAAAAAAAATTTCCAAATGAAACAAATTTAACCAGACCAAATTAATTAAAAAGTCAAAAAATTCAAACTAAAAAAAGTTTTTTCAAACTAACCTTTTTTTTGTCTTTTTGGTTGGAGGGTATGGTCCAATATAATGGATTAGTGGGGTGTACAGTGGGCTTTGCCTGGATCTGTTGATATGTTATTGCATTGGTGGAGTGGATGGAAATTTTAAAAAGGAAGTGATTGATACCCCCTCCAATTATCACCCCATACACATGTGGCGGGTGGTGATTGGAGAAGGAGGAGAAAAAAAAAATGGCCAATCAGAGAAAAAGAGAGGGGGTCAAAGAGAGCGCCTCCTTGAAAGGGTCCAACTCATTTTCCATTTTAAAAAAGGTAAAGGCAGCTTTGGAGAACAATTCTTATGGCAGTCCTATGGCCCTTATGGAAATATAGGAATGATTGCAGATTTAATGAGCTTCAACCAAATAGTGAGGAGCTTTGTGAACTGATAAAAATTACGGTGGCTCTTTGAATGAAAGCTCATTTTTTTGGAAGATTATACTCTGTTAATGATTTTTTCTTCAAAAATCAACAAATTAGAGGCTGCATTGGTTCTTCTGGGTGAGGATGCATTTGGGTGCTCTGTTTTTACCTGCTGTAAATGGTCTGGTTTTTTGGGCTGAGACACAAATAGGATATCAATGTTATGGCAATATTATTGTATCTGGTGTGCTGAGCAACAAAGGATGAGTACCAATGGAGTTGCTGCTGTTTTATTGCTTTGAGATAGTGTTGACGTTGTATTGTTGTGTTTGTTGGGGTCTGTTTGTTTGATGTAATGACTTCTTTTTTTTTTTTGGTTGGTCTCTCACCTTCTTTGGTTTGTGCTAGTAAATGATCTGACGTTTTTCTTGGTATCAACCTAGTTCGAATTAAATTGAATTGCTATGATGTTTTTTTGCTCTTACCTTTTCTCTTTATTGATGTTCTCTCATAATCCCTTTTTTTGCTTATAAAAAAAACTACCCAAAACAACCAGATTTCTTACGAATAGTAATATGGGCAATTGATGTACCCCAAAAAACAAACATGACTGACAAGCAATGAGAATATATATAAAAATACCATGGAAATTAATATAAGTCGTGAGTGAGTAGTGTTCTTTCATAGTATTATAATTCTATATATATATATATATACATACCTGGAGAACGCAAAGAGGCTGACCATTTTGTTGCGACAATAAGGTATCATCATCCAAAGTCTGGACAATAAGTTGTCGAAAAGCAGGGTTAGGATAAACTAAGTCTCCAATCTCATCCAGTGTATACTCACTAGATGCCACCACAAACCCAGCCCCAGCTGCATTGCAACAACCGAGTCTGTATCTCGGATGTCTCGGTCGTTGAAAGTAAGTTTTGGGGCCCAGCTGCCGGTAGTTCGGTCAGAAGGTTCCGGTTGGGGGCTCGGTGGCAAGCTCGGTGGAAGTGCGGGTTCTGCTTCATCAACCAAAATTTGTTCGGTTTCAGCAGTCCGGGCGCGCTTGGTTCGACGGGAAGAGGACGGCTGTTGAGAAGGGAGGGCCACAACAGCAGGTTGCGACTGGTTGGGTGGCGTTACTTCGGGCCTGGTTGTCTCGGTTAAAAGTGCCCTGACTCTGTTCCTTTTCGCCATCTCTTCTTCGATTGTCAGTGGGATCAGTCTGATCTCAGGCAAGGATGGGTCCGGTTCTGGGGCGTCTTCAAGAAGGAAGTCTGACTCTGTTCCTTTTCGCCATCTCTTCTTCGGCTGTCAGTGGGATCAGTCTGATCTCGGGCAAGGAGGGGTCCGGTTCTGGGGCGTCTTCAAGAAGAAAGTCAGTTACTCTAGCTTTTCGGCGACCGCTGTATCGATAGGTCGGCTCGAATTGCAGCAATTTAGCCCAGCTACGTCCTGGATATCGTAGTGCGGCTCGCAAAGTTGCAAGGTTTGGATAACCGTATAAGGAATAAAGGTGGGCAGAATCTGCGAAACAAGAACTGTTAGTTCGGTTGATACACTAACAAACCGAAATAAAAAAAATGCAAGGAAGAAGACTGAAGTTAAATTACCGGGCTCTCTTTTTTTTCAATTTATAGGTCGGCCAGGAATTTGGGCTTGAAAATCCTCAAAGTTCCTAGAGGCCCAGAAAAAGTCGTCGTCATTTAGGTCTTTGTCCGGTGTATGCTTTATTATCTTTTCTCGGCGGCGACGTATTCTAAGGTAATAAACCCACCCATCCTCTTTGGAGCCAATGGAATATTGATGAAAAATTTCGGCCAGGCCAAGGTTTAGTCCGGCTTGGCGGTTCAGTTCGGCAATCCCCATAATGATGCGGTAGGAGTTGGTGGACAGTTGGGTAGGGCATAATCTAGTCTGCCTAAGAAATTCACAGATCAACGGTTGAACTGGGAACCGTAGTCCGGTTTCTATTATGGATAGAAGGGTAAAAGGGACGAAGCCTTCGTTATCCCAGGGAATGGCATCTTTTTCGGCCAAAACCAAGTGGACATCATCAGGTATGTTATAGTCCTTCCTAAATTCGGCTAAGCCGCCTGGAGTGTCTACTAGGTACCTATACTTCCCCATTTAAGGAATAAATTATGAATAAGTTATGTCGGTGCAAGAGCTGCGCTCAGAAGCTCGGTTGAGCGCACGGAGTCTCTGGGCAACCTAAGTCTGCAAAGTAGAAAGCAAAGGGGTTAAGCACAGATCATTGGACCGTGCTACAAATTAAAAGCGAGGTTAAAAAGTCCTACTTCGGCTTTATGGACGGGTTCTATCTCGGTTCAACAAAATACTTGGTATCTCGGTTTGAGCAAGGTTCTTATGAGCCAAATCTTGGCGGCATCTCGGCATACTGGCCTTGGATACAATTTTGTTAGACCGGTTCATAGTCTAGGGGCAGCTTTCTGAGTTCGGTCTAAAAAACTAAGAAAGCTGGCTCAGCCCCAAAGGCCTAAATCGGTTGAATTTGGAGTTTTGTTATTTCGGTTGAGCCTCTAGGGGCAGCTTTCTGAGTTTTGTTTAGAAACTAGGAAAGCTGGCTTAGCCCCAAAAGCTTAGCTCGGTTGAAGACCGAGGTTCCTTATTTATTAAAGTCAAACTTCGTTCGATGGGTTTATCTCGAAAAAACAGAAGCGAAGCAGAAATGGAGGAAAATGTTTTGCGGAAATACAGCAAACAAGATGCATAAAGCAAATATGAAAGCAAAAACATGAAGGGAAAGTAAATATTGCTTACCAGGATTGAAGAAAAGAGGACTGGAGACGAGAACAGTGACAGTAAAAGAAGAACACGAGCTTGGTAGTTAGAAAAGCAGAGGCACGAAGAGAGGAGGGTGAAAAATGTGGGTGAATGATTCAAGGATGAAAAGGATGTTTTGTGAAAAGAACGAGCGGCAAAAAGGGGAGGGACTGTTCAAAAATTTCGTGGTACGAGGGCGGCGTGACAGCTGCTCACAGCCTATCAGAACCCGCCACGTGTCTTTGGAAAGGGAAGCGTTACAGTCATGATTGAAGAGACGTTTTGACCGGACAAAACAGAGCCCGGAGTAAAATTAGCTCGGCTTAAAAGGCTTAGGAGTTTTTAGCTCGGCTGGAGAGGCTAAAGGGTTTTTAGCTCGGCTGGAAAAACTTTGAAAATCCAGCTCGGCTAGTAGACTGGTAATCCCAATCATGTTGTGCAGATGGAATTAAGAGGCAATTGAAAGGGTAATTTTTGGTGAAAATTGGGCCGAGCTGTGAGATGGACTTTGTGGCCCAAAATACGAAGGACTGTGTAAAAAGGCTGTAATGTTACTTCGGCCCAAGAAAGGTAAAATTACTCCGGCCCAAGAGATAAAGTTACTTCGGTCCAAGATGATGAAAAGTTACTCCGGTCCGGAGGCAACTTGGAGTTAGGCCGGTCTCAGAGTTAGTCCGGTCACTACGTAGTATGGTTAGAATGGTCAAAACCTTGCTACTCGGTAGTTCGGTTTAAACACACCATGGTTGAACGAGAGGGAACCGAGATAAGGAGTGGATGGAGAACCGAGCTAAGGATAGTTCGGCCTACTCTGCGGCTCGGCATAGCCAGTATTATCTCGATCATGTGGTAGTTCAGTCGTAGTAAAAACCATCCCACTTGGTTTAAGCAGTGGGGGGGGTGTAAAAGGATAAGCATTATCCTTTAGGAATATGAATCCTAGGAGGACTCTGCATGGAGGAATAAAAGTCCTACTAGGATTGGACCACTCGAAACCTATAAAAGCTCACAAGCATCACCTTGGAGGAGGTAACATAACACAACATACAATTTTTCTTCCTGAACACATTGAGCTTTGTCTATTTGTCAAGTTTTCTGACTTAGGCATCGGAGAGGTTTCCGGCACACACCCGCCGGCTAGCTCACATTTGTGTTTTCAGGTGACAAAGCGATGTCGTACGGAGAAACGTGGACTTAGCCAACAAGATTATACGAGGAGAATTATTTCTTCCCCGTACACTTATTATACAAATAATAAATTTAAATCCTCTAATATTATATCATATCATGTATTAATATACTAATTAATGAGTATAACTTTATTCTTTGTAATTTGTTCACCGTCAAACTCCCAATAATATAGGACCAAGTTATCCAACTATGCTGGTACAAGTTGCCCTTCAACTATGGAAATAGTATCTCTGTCGCACTATACGTAGCCACATGTCCCAAATTAATAACAAAATATTACTTTGATCTAGTGTTTCTGATCTCCGTGCTCGTTTAAGAATATGTTATTTTTAATAATTTTTAAATTTTTTATAAAAATATGTGTAAAAAAATAGAGAGAGTGATACAACAACTTATAATAATTTTTTACTTTTTAACTAAAATGTTTACTCCTCATACAAGACTTCTGTGCACCAATTACAATTACACGTCAATGGGGCATGGAATAACTGCCCCTACCCATTATGAGCATGCTTGTTACGAGAAATTTTACTTACACATCAATTTAACTCTTTACATTCCCAAAATTCTATTTTTTTATTTTATAATTTATATAATTTCTTTGTTACTCTCATCCCTAACATTTCTCATTCTCTTTACACACAAAACCTTAAAAAAAACTAACACCCACCACCATCACCTCCAACCACCATCAACTTGCAAGAATGTATACCGTCCAGTAGTATTCTTATTATATACAGAATAATAAATAATGAGATGGACAAATAACTATGATCGATAAAAATTGAATCACATTTGCTGCGGCGACACTCCGACGTGAACATGATGGAACTTAGCCTGAACCGGTCAAGAAGATATGAAGCCAGGGGACTCTCCAATGCTTAAGTTAGTAAACTTGAAAGCTATGAAGTAAGAAAATATAAAAATAGGAGGAACCTAAAGTGGTGTTAATTAATTGTCTACATTTTTTGCTCACTTGGTATGACTTTATATAGCTTCAAAGTAACTGTTGGAATTGGTTTCACCTCCCATGCCACTCCCCACGTTCAGTCCACTTTTTGTGGGATTATGTTCCACTATTGCGGATTTTTAGAAGTGGTTGGCCCTTAAAGTAAGGACTAAGCTTTGACCAAATCTACCCCTAAGAGCCATGCCTTCTAGACCTAGCCTTCTGGCCTGGACCCCTAGACCTAGTCTTCTAGTCCTTTACCTCTGATTCTGGACCTGTATATCCGGACCTAGACTCTTGGTCCTGCACCTCTAGTTCTGGTCCCGTATGTCTAGACTTGGACTTCTGGTCGGGCACCTCTGGTTCTGGACCCACATGTCTAGACCTAGACCACTGGTCTCCTCTGGTCCTCTAATCTTAGACCTGCATATCTGGACTTGGACCTCCAATCCTGGTCCCCTAGTCCTATAGACCTGCTATTCTAATGTATCCTGCTCAGATTCTGTACATTTTCTGCTTGGAATGAAATTCTTTATTTTTGTCTCCCACAATAACCAATCACCTTTATCTACCTTCTCCTAACATAACTACGATCATTGTCTTTCTCAGGCAAGATATCAAGCCCTTCTTTAACAGTTGCACCAGAATCAACCATTATCTCTCATGTCTTTGTAAATTTGTGACCCGTGGAATATGAACCCAAGTTGCATTCAAACTTCTTCCTAAGTTGCTCAATTGAACCCTTCCGCTGGTGAATCTCTCAATATGCCCAGCTTGAAGAATCACGAACCTAAAGCTACTGTTGCATATACCATCTAAATAGATGACCCCCAGCTTCAATTGCCACATTTTTGCCCTGATAAACCAAAACAATTTCTACAAATCCACATGATATTCACCATTGGAAAACTATGTACTCATATGATCATCATATCTCCATTTTGTCACTGAGAAACTAGAGGAAATAAAA